TTAAAAGGATCTATTAGTGGAATATAATTTTGGGTCAAATGTTTGACCGTCATCGTTTTTGTTTCTTATATTATACGACTTATTTAATAGGAACTCTTAATTATTTATATGTAATTAAAAATTATATTATATGAAGTTCATGCGGTTTGTTATCGTTGGATATATTATGAAACTGGAGTTGAAAATTATTTCTATGCGGAGAATTCTCAAATTTTCCATGCTTGAATACCATTAAGATCATTTGTAAAAGTAAAACAAAACTATTTCCAGCTCTACACCGAAATATAAATAAAAATAGCTTCAAAAGAACCCCGTGCTGAAAGCTATACCGTTAAGAACATTTGGATAATTAGCTATGTAACATCTAATGTCAAGACTCGGATAATATATTAGTACAAAAATTTAATCGAAATCTCAACTAGAAGTATTTTTCAAAAACGTCTACTTTTAGAACAACAAAATGGATGTGAGTTCTTGATCTTTATATTAGCCATAAAAATTAATTAGAATGTTTCGTTTTTAAGAATATATCGTAATTTTATTTTATTTTATGGAATATGAATATTTTTTTATATATGTTAATACTGCACAGCCAAAGAAGCTTTTATATCTTTGCTGCCTATCTCTCATCAAACTAAAAGCGATATCAACTTCCAAAATTAGAAACGTAACCTTGCTTATATGTATATGTCAGGTTGTTTTACTTTTACTGAGATAGGAGAGTCAAGCCAGTGTTGTTTGACTTTGTCTATGCATCGAGCACTGTATCAGTTTTACTGACCATCTTGGTCTGAAGTGTAAGCCATGTTTTTTTATTCGTCACCTTACAATGGGCCATTTTTTGAGTTCAACTGAGCTTTAGTGTGCGAGATCAATAATCCAACCTTACCTAACTCTTCGGCATATATCTCATAATTGAGTTTTAATTTTTTAAAAACTATTGAACTTTAATTTAAAAGAAATTTAAGTTTTAGCAACAAAAGAATAATAAACGCGTTATACAGAGGTCAAGTAATTACTACTTGGTAATAAGTAATAACCTAAGTTCATTTGCAAAGTTTCATTTAAATTGGATTATTCAATTGAAATAATGGTTGTATTATATTTTTTAAGACTTCCTTGATTTGAAAGCTTCATAAACACGTTTGTTTAGGGATCCATGTTCGAATATCATTAATTCAGATATTTTCACTTAGAAGTAATAAGTATTGGTGCGAACTCGCACCGAAATATTTTCTAAAGTAAGATAAAGCACTGTACAAACTATTCCATACTACTGATTTTGTTACAAAATTAAAACGGATTGAACATTCAATAGAAGAGAAGCAATTATTATTATTTCTGATCCGGGGCTATTAAAATGGCAACACTCAATGAATACTATGAGAGCTCAGCACTCCAATAGATTCATTACAACTTAAATAATATTCTATTAAATTAAATTAACACGCGCATGCTTGAAACTTCTAATAGATTTAGTTCCTATCAGCTTCTATCAACACTAATACGGACATTTTTACTCAACCAATTAGTTCTAGGTATAACAGTTACAAAAATAGCTGAGTAGATACTAGTATCTGTTGCGTTTTAGTCACCTGAACACAATTATTTAAATTTGCACTTGAATAACTAGTTACTGACGTAACTAATTGCTATAGTAAATGTCTACCACTAACTCAGTTATTCATTTTGACATATTGGAAACATATTGAACCAAAAAAGATTCAAATAAAGCTCAAGGCTATAAGTCTTTACTAATCGGGCATCAGTCTCCCTTATGTTTAGAGTATAAAGTCTTGTTAAACAACCAAGTCATTAAGCAAATCTGCATGTATGGCTTACAGCCTGTTCGTCAAACGTAGAAATCCTACAAAGAGATGAACCAATTATCCTAAGAATGATCACTGGTGCACCCTGGTATGTCAGAAATGAAAACATACATTTCGATTTGGAAGTTCAGATGATCAAAGTCGAGTTCGAGAGACTAAGGCGGAAACATGTTTCAAATCTTGAAAACCATGTGAGTCAGCTGGTTAAACCTCTTGCTAGTATGATAAATTCCTCTAGACTGAAACGGAATGATAGATCCGCCATTCTGCTTGCCTAAAGATCACTCTGATTAATTCAATTTATACGCCATGATATCTGGTAAATAAGTCCTGGCTACTTATTTATAGGTCATTTAAAATAATTCACAAATCATTATATATATTTCATTATAGAATGATTATATACAATAATTTGTAATGTAATGTCATTAATGATTCTAAAACTTATTGTAGGGCTTGAATTTAAAAGTGATTCAATAAAGACATATCGTTAAATAAAAAAAAAACTAACTCAGTTTAACAATGGTGGCCAACAGACGGTCGGTGTTAGTATATTTGTCAGACAGGTTTGTCAGTTTCAGGCCTTAACATTACGGAGTAATGATGTGGCGTATACGCTGCATATAAAAAACTTAAAAGTTTTGAGATCTTGTGCAGATATATGTATATTAAAACCGGCAGTAAGAATAAAGAATAAACGGGGTACTAGCTCTCAACGGAGCGGAGTACTGCGATCATGATTGATCTTTTGTGCGACTGTGTATTTGACACAGTAAGTGTCGTCAAATACTCGGTCTGTGGGTTACTAGCCTTGCGCCAACCACACATTCAATATTTTGGGATATAAAAATGTTTATTTTAATTTTATAATGAGTCATCTTCGTTGCCTATACTACATGAGAAGCGTGTTTGTGTGATTGCATATGTGGTGGCGTATGTAGGGTGTTTAAAGGGGTTTTTTTGTGGTTGCGTATGTAACGCATATAAGTCTGAAACGCTTATAGCACCAAATGCTGTGGGTAAATAATTTTTATAGTTAAAAACATTAGACGTTGCAATAGTTGGCAATATGCCAACTAGTAGTACAACACATTTATTATTGGTCATTTCAGCACCTCTACTTGGGGGTGGTGATGCCCCCAAGTATTGTTTTTTAATAAGTGTACACCGAAGTCGGCATTTCTCTTTTGATTATTAATAATTACAATGGTCGAGAAATATGGCAAAAATATAATGCAAAAGTAATTACAAGTACTTTATGTTAATAAAAATCAAGGCTAAATAAATTTTTATTGTTGCGCATAAATGTTTACTGAAAATTGCACTCGAACTCAAATCAAGGCAGTAGCGGGTTTTGACCAAAGTTCAACCAATTTGCCGTACTTTGAAATGTTGCCACAATCAAAGCTAAGCAAAGCAAAGACACACACACACACACATGAACAGAAACAAAAAATGTAGAGAAATCATATGAAAACACAGTAGAAGGGAAAGAAAAACGAAAACCAAAAGCTACTACTACTTGTAGCTTTTGTGGGCGATGCGGATGAGGATGTGAGAGGACGAGTGCGTTGTTGTTAAAGCTAGGGTAGCTGTAGAACGAGCACTTACATACACATACACACTTACTCGTGCACAAAACACAACATACAAAACACGATAAGGCGAACTGGCATGCAGGCGAACAGGCGTGCCAGGCAGACAGGAATGCGTGTAAATTTTGCAGATAGAAATCAGTAAAAATACTACATCGCCGCTGAGCACAACGCTTGGACTAGTGGCAGCGGAAAGCGCAACGTAAAAACACATTAGAATTTCACTGAATATCTTAATTAGAAATTAATAAATAATTTGAATGAATTTAGAAAATAATTAAAAATAATATTTTAACAATTTAAAACAAAATTCTTATTTATGCTTAAAATAATTAATTTAACAAATTAAAGTGTTTCAACTAATAAGGCAAACTGATTTTTGTGGCAAATTAACGTAAATTTTGCAAACATATTGCACAGTTAAAACTATAAAATAAATTAGTTGAATTAATAATAATAAATAAACTTTTTAAAGTCGACTCAAAGGTGAGTTATTTTATTATAAATAAAACATATATTCCACACTTTAAAGGATGAATTAAGTAGTAGAATTTCGCTTTGCGTTTTTTTAGTAATTTTAAAGTAATTAAAAATAAATTGTGTGCTCGCGTATCAGATTTTGTAGTTCTGTGTGTCACTGTGTTTCACTGTGTAAACGTGTAATTATAGTAATAAGACGCTTACACCGCCTGTTGTATGGCCCGAGGCGAAGGAGTTCACAGTTTTGTTTTTAATGTGCTATTAATGTTTCTCGGATTCGTGTACAGGCATTGACTTAAGTAAATTGGTGAGATCGGTGAGGTCGGTGAGGTCGGCGAGTTCGATGAGGGCTTAACATACTTGTCTTTTTAGTTCAATTTAAAATCATTTGTATTGTAAATCGTAAATTTTCAGACTTTGTGCCTGTCGACATCTTAACAGTTGTTCACACACATTTGCACATTTACTCAATTTCATTTACAATTTACTTGCCAACTTTTCTGACTTAATGTTGAAGTTAATTAATATGAGAAACTTACTTAAAATGCCATTAATCAAGCAACTGTAAGGTTGCGATTTCGTTACTTGTTGATTAATGCGAAGAAATTAATGAAAAACGTCTGTTTATCAGCTTTTAAGAATTTTAAATATTGTAATGAATAAAATATGTTTTTAACAATGTCTTTATACTTATATTTAATTTTATTTCGTATTTTCTTTCAACAGAGTATGATATTATTTAGTAATTTAAAATTATACTATAGTAATTAGCAGGACTATTCTATATGAAAAGTGTATTGTCTATGAAATTCTACTATTTAAACAATTTATAGTGGGTTTTTTTTTTAAATTCTAGCTAAAAATATATAATTTTTACTAAAAAATCACGCTTAAAATTTTTAAGTATTTTATTTCAAAATAATTTTCACAAAAGAATTTCTTAAAATCATTTTTAAAAAAAATTTTTTTCAACAATTC